TTCATATTACTGTACTTTCTTAATTATCACTCGTATTTAATTTCACTATTTCAAAAGCTTGTGCTTTTCACTGGATTGAACAACACTGAGCTGTATTGTATTTTGTTAATTTAATTTAGTGGATTTGACTTGCGAAATTAAAAACCGGTAAATACTCGTAGATAATTCGTTCATACATTTAACACGCAAAGACAAATAATAAATTAGTATTTTAAAGTAAGATTGTCAGTGCTGAGTGATTTTTCAAGATAGTTTTGATATATCATTAATACCCAACGTCTATTGTGTGACGTAAATGGTTTTAAAAATATTGGTTTGACCCGGTTATCCGCTAATAACTTAACGTGACCTATCCTCGGGGGGGGGGGCGGACATCCGGGCATTTTCACCGCCTGGCAACCCGCGGCGGTGTAAACAAAGGCCAAAAACTCGCTGAAAACGGTACTTTGGGATGATTGTTGAGACTCTTCTGAACAGTGTAACAAGATTAGCCCTACGCGTGTAACATATATAAATTTGGTTGTTCGGGATTACTTCAAAGTTGAGTTTGTGTTGTTTTCTCGAATTTTCACCTGCTCGACCGGCGTTCCACAGCAGCGCGCACAGAGCCCATAGAAATGCATGTACAGTGGTGCGCGTCGTAGCAACGTGGAACGTCTTGTGACGTTGCTCCGCCCCCGAGGATAAAAGTTATTTAGACGCCACTAGAGGGCGCGGCGTGCAGCAAAGGTGTGTCGAAGGAGTTGTACTTTTTTAGTTCGTCTCGAGAAAAGTCTAAATTCAGAGAGGGTAAGATTACACTCAAAGTCAAACCCTTTTTGGTACCATGCTTTTCTGCGTTGGTCTAAAACAATTACATGTACAATCCCTTACTCAAAGCAAACTATTTTCTAGAGGTTGGTACCAGAGTGGTATTGTATTTCTATCGGATGTACTGGTTGATAGTGGCAATTTCCTCACCTTTAAAACTTTCTTGGACAAATATAACATATCATCAAATCATTTTTTAAAGTATTTTGGTCTTATTGATGCTATTCCTGGAAATTGGTTAGTATCCTTGAATAGCAGAGATAATGAAAATGATTCTACCCTGATCCATATTAAAAGAGCTCAGTACTCAGAAATCGTAGAGAGAGTATATAAGTTAAACGTAAAATGACAAACCTGTGTTGAAAAGTGGAGAGGTTATTTGGCACAGATCTAAATTTTGAATAATATTTCAAACTACCTTTCATTATTACTGATGATGTATCACTCAGACATTTTCAATACAGACTGATTAATAGAATTACCACTACAAACAGGTTTTGAAAGTTGATACTGATAAATGTACTTTTTGTAACAATTTTCCTGAAACACTGCTTCATTTGTTTTATAATTGTATGCATGTCTCCTCAGTGCGTCGCGATCTGGAATTGGCCCTTAACATTAATTGTAATATTTCGGTACATTTTTCATCAAAAGATTTCATCTTGGGATTAAATGTACATGATTCTAATTTAAATTCAGACTACATTGTTTGTTTAAATTACCTTTTACTGCTGATGAAAAAAATATATTTTCAATTGTAGGTACAAGAATGTAAAGCCATCTTTTGTAAATTTATGTAATTATTTAGCATACCAAAAGAAAATAGATATGTACAAAATAAGGATATATAATGTAAAATCAAAGTCTTTCAGATTATATTGGAGTTTATTAGATCAGCTATTGTGAACATATGTATTTTTTTCCCATTATTTGTGTGTGTCTTGTATTTTAATATTTTGTGAAATAACAATAAATAAAAAAAAAAAGATTACACTCAAAACGTCTATGTCAGAAAAAAAACATCGCCGTGTTCAGTCTGTATTGGTGTATTTTACATCTACAAAAAGGCGCTTAGAATTGTTTAAGCAATGTGTCCCTGACTGAAACAGAGACCACTGACGTAATCAGAGTCAATGTGAAGCTGCTCACAAGAATGAGTCTGATTTGCTACCCAGTCCTAACATTTTACAGTCTGACCAATCACAGAGAAGCTTTTTGTTGAAAGCCTTATTCGACGTATCAAATTCTGCCTTGTAAATATATAACACTTCATGCGTCATTTCCTTAACAACACACACCCGTTTTTTTATTTGCTACCCAGTCCTAACATTTTACAGTCTGACCAATCAGAGAGAAGCTTTTTGTTGAAAGCTAATTTCGACGTATCAAATTCTGCCTTGTAAATATATAACACTTCATGCGTCATTTCCTTAACAACACACACCCGGTTTTTTTGTTTTGTTTTTTTGATTTGCTACCCAGTCTTAACATTTTACAGTCTGACCAATCAGAGAGAAGCTTTTTGTTGAAAGCTAATTTCGACGTATCAAATTCTGCCTTGTAAATATATAACACTTCATGCGTCATTTCCTTAACAACACACACCCGGTTTTTTTGTTTTGTTTTTTTGATTTGCTACCCAGTCCTAACATTTTACAGTCTGACCAATCAGAGAGAAGCTTTTTGTTGAAAGCCTTTTTCGACGTATCAAATTCTGCCTTGTAAATATATAACACTTCATGCGTCATTTCCTTAACAACACACACCCGTTTTTTTTTTTTTTTTTTTGATTTGCTACCCAGTCCTAACATTTTACAGTCTGACCAAAGTTTGAAACTCCCTCACAAACTGCTGAACCCGAAACACAGATAATCACGTATCCTCGGGGGCGGAGCTAAGTCACAGACGTTCTACGTTGCTAAGACGCGCACCACTGTACCACGTATTTCTACGAGCGTTGTGCGCGCTGCTGTGGAACGCCGGTCACGGTGGAGCCGATGAAAATTCGAGAAAACAACACAAACTCAACTTTGAAGTAATCCCGAACAACCAAATTCATATATGTTACACACGTAGGGCTAATCTTGTTGCACTGTTCAGAGGAGTCTCAACAATCACCCCAAAGTACCGTTTTCTGCGAGTTTTTGATCTTTGTTTTCACCGCGATGGTTGCCAGGCGGTAGAAAATGCCCGGATGTCCGCCCCCGAGGATACCTTTTTTTTTCAAATCGCTTATTTAATAAATTCTACTCGTGGTAAGGCTCTGTAATTATAACAGAACGATCTGAATTAGACTCAGTCGTGACAATCTCATTGTGTTTTTTTTTATTACAATTCCCCGACTACTGCGGGACTACTGCGCTTATGCGAAATGTTCACGTGTGGTAATTCCGCATCGGACCAAGAAAGAATTATAAAATTGCTTGGGATTCAATTCCCGCGTGTGCGACGACCCTCCCGCTGTAAGGCTCCGGACGCAAAAACCCAGGCCAAAACACGTGCAATATATATTCTGGACAGATCTCGTTGCGGTAATGATAATACTAGTATTGATAATACCGTGGAACAGCTATCATTGACGAGCTTATTTATTCGATTTTCCACTCCACTCTTGTTACTTTGCAAATCAATTTCGCAACTTCTTTTTAGTTGTTTTTTTTTCAACATTTTACTCAACTTTTGCAAGTCTTAATCTCATTTTTTTTTAACTTTTCAGCCTTTTTTTTTTATCTTCATGGTAATGCGCTTGAGTATTCGTTGCTGTGTCCGATACTCTTAGTTCCATGTTTGACCGTATTTCTTATTTAATGGTGGCAAAGTACAATCTTTTATGAATGTAGCGCCATTCCCTCTTTCGAAATTGTAAAATAAGGAATTCTCCCTCATTCCCCGGTTTGTGAAATAATCTTTATACATTACAGGATACGCTCTGAAAGTAACAAAACAGTAAATATTAGAGAAATAATTGTTAGTAACTTGAATTGAAAAGCGGTGGTCGTCGCGCTGCGCATGTGCGACATTTGTGATGATAAACATCGATTTTCCCATAATCCAATGCGCTTTTTCTGATGAAATCATGAGTACGAGCTTCGACTCAGGCGCTACACTAGTTGCCACTGACAAGTCTTTCGATACCTTTCAATCACCAAAAAAAAAAAACCTAATTAAGGTTTCACCAGCCTACATTTTGAGACATTCTATTATTTTTTTCAAAAAACGCTATTTTTATAACAATTACAATTACGTAGAGCATAGTGTTAAAGAGATTTTTGACACTTTTTAAAACCCAGATTTTTTAAATAATTGTAAACAACAACAAGTACCTCATCATTCACAATATTTTTTTTTAGCCTATGTCACCAGCCTACATTTTGAGACGCGACGATCTTAAAGCGGGGGAGTCCTTACCTGCGCATGCGTCAGATGGCCATAGTGTGTCACTTTTTACAAGCGTCTACCCATGAGCCTTTGCGTTTTTAGCGTGTGTTGTTATCGTCGCTTGGGACTCAATTCCCTTGCGTGCACAGGTGACAACCCTGCCGCTTAAATACATCTGGTTGACAAAAGCTTCGGAAATATTGCTAAGTATATACAACACGATAAAAATCGCAGAAGTTACATAGGAGTAGAGGACTGGATATAAGACAAATGTAATTTTAATTTTTGAATTGTTTATTAAAAATTTACATAAAAAAACATCGTACGTCGTTCGAACTTCATGAGCATTGAGGTAGGTAAATGGTAGGCAAAAGTTGGTGAGCAAAATTCAATGAGGACAATTTTGCAAAGTCAGAAGAATTTTGCTCACTAAATCAGAAAAGTATTTCTGACTTGGTGACAAGCAGTGAACACAATTTTCCTGCGAAACAGATAAGAGCACACACTTGGAAATAAATTCAAAAACTCATGATTGTTTTAAAACGATGTGTGGGAATAAATTGAGGTACTTCTGTATTTAAAATAAGTGTTTAACTCACGCGGCGTATACAAAGATCACGTTTCGAATTGTCAATATTAAATGCTCTCATCAGATTTGGTGAGCAAAGTTCTGCTGACTTGCCAAATTTTGCTGACCCAAATTTGCTAACCACATCTAACCTCAAATAAACATGCGTTTGACCCCATGAATATTTCTAACGCCCTCTGACGGCCAGCGTGGGAGAGTTTCCAAGCAACCAGTCACTATCAAAATGGCGAACTGCGAGGACGGCGATGACTTACAGGCTTTGGTTGAATGTATGCATTTTGCTGCGATAAAGCATACAGACCAAAGACGAAAAGACCCCATGAAGACGCCATATATAAACCACCCCATAGGTAAGTGTGCGAACGAGAACGTTACGATTTCCAACGGCAAATCTCTGTGCTGTCTGCTAAGGGTTCACCACATTTGAATTCGGGGGGGGGGGGGCTTGAAGTATCACATCGCAATTTTTCGCATTAGCTCATT